AAATAAATAAATAAATAAATTAAATATAATCAAGTAAAAAAAAATTTTGTCTATTATTTATGATCATTCACCCGAATATCAGGGAAATCTCTCGGATATTCCAATATGTATGATTAGGATTTCTGGGTAAAAATCAATAAACTTCTCTTAAATATGATAAAATTAATCATTAGGAGCAATTTCGTTTTAATTAATTAATCTGGTAAATTCTTTTGATCGAGATAAAAATATGAGGATTATTTAAATATGCAATTAAGTATAATTGTTATATTAATTTTTTTTTTGATGATAATTTTCGAATTCTTTATCATTTCTTGTTTCCTAATTACTTTAATTATTTATTTAATTGAGTTATCGAATAAAATCCATTGGATAATAGCTTAATTATAAAATAAAATTTGTTAACAAATTGTTGTGATGATCAATTGTTATGGATCAATTACATCTGGTTAAGATTATTTCAACGATTAATGAAGATAGAATGTTAATATTCTAGAAAAATCGTACCTATTACAAAATAATATTTATAACATTTGAGTTAGATATTATATAATTGGCGCAAATGTCCTTACCCACTTCCCATTGAATGTCCCCATATGAAAATAGAATTTTTGCCTGCTAAATTTTTCGTATAATTAAATAAAATTACAGAATCAGCAATTAATCCGGCTTCATTTGGATAGCCAGGTGAATCACCAAATCCTTAATTATATTCATAAGGTATTAATTAATTTGGAAATAATTATTTAAATACTTAAATTGAAATTATCGTCAAAAAAAAGTCCTATTTATTAGATGCATGTCTATTTATTATAATTTTATCATTACTTTTGTGAAAATAAAAAATAAAGTAATAGAATGGAAATATCGTTATCAGTTCATCATTATTTATATTTTTATGAGAATAAATTATTAAAGTAAATGAATGGATATGTACCTATAATCATCTCAACACTAATTATGACCTTATCAATTCCTATTAGTTTTATTATCAGTTTATCAATTTGTTATTTTATTATATATATTCATAATTTGCAGCTAATTTTTTTTTAATCAAATAACCTCTATAATCTAAGCAAAGTACATGTAAATCCATTGCAGATAATACATTATATGTATCAACTCGATTAATCCATTGTCTAAAATATAATTAGTTTTTTATTTTTAAATTTAAAAAACTAATCGATTTTTATCAACTACTTTT